TATCAAACACACGCTGTAGAATAATATCATACAGTATCACACCTTATATAACTTGTGTAAAAGCTTTAGTTAATCAGTTATTTACCATTCTTAAGCAAATAGGTCAAACATACAGCCTCTGTTAATGGCTGAAAAAGGGAGAAAGTGGAACCTTAAATAATGGAGAAAACAATCAAAGCCTGTGTAACTACAGCCTGTATTCAATGTATGTCTATACTTAATCAAATCAACAATAAATAAATACATAAATAAACATAATTTAATATTAAAACAGCCTGAACAAGTCTGAAACATTTGGGTCACTATCTCAGATGGATAATGACCGCAGGATTCCACTCCATGTGTACACAGTATGTGCTCTGTTGTGTGTGTAACTGTGTTGTACCTGGTTGGGGGACATGGCGTCGTCATCAGTGCTGGACGGACTCAAACCCCTCCAACAGAGAACACCATGGAGTCCAGGACAAACAGCTGACGCCACAGAACTTTCTGGACACGTCGGCTGTCCTAGAAACACAAACATGTTTTCATGATGAGTTAAACTAACAGAACAGTTTTTAAAAAGAACGGCTACAATCATTAGTGAGTTAATAAAAAAGGAATCCAACTACTTTGATTCGAGAGTTTCATGTAAAAACATCAAAAAGTCAATGTTATTGGCACGTCCTCATTTATAAAGGCTGCTTCCCTCAGACTACATGTGTCATGGAAGCCACAGTCTTCGCTCTGTGACCTGGTCACAAAATGTCTTCATGCTATCTCTCCTCAAAGTGCGTCTTGAAATCGGGAAAAGTGTTTCAGGGCCCTTTCCGAACAGTCACAGTTCAGTATGCAGTACTTTTCAGGATGGAGTTTCAGTATACTGAACTTTCGTGGTCATTCAGTATGCATTTTTTGGGTCCACCTCAGTATACTGAACATTTCAGTATGGATATTAACTTCCAGGTTTCATGCAGTATCGATCAGATGCGTGCTTTCAGGAAATGAATTGTGTTTTACCCACAATGCTGTGCGAAATTAAACGTAAATCATCAGGTCCGCCTCCAAATCAAAACAAACGAGCGTGGATTAATTGAATCAATTTTTAATCTAGAGTTAAAGTCCCGACTGAAATCACTACTTTAAATTAACAACAGAAAATATGACAAATATCTGCATTATTATAAAACCTTTCTCCCTCTATTTAAATAATGATTTAACTATTTAAATGTCTTTATTGGTTTATTTTATATTCTGTATATTACTGTCTTTCATTTGTTCTTTCCATTATGTACTGTATGTTATTTAGTTATTTAATCTGTCTTTTACTTGTGATATTGTTTTTTGTTAACCTGACTGTATATGTGCATTACTCTTCTTGAATAAAGCTAAACAAAAAAAATAAACAAACAAAAAACGGGTGGATGCGTCCGGTTCGGGAAACGTAAATGACGTCACTTCCATACTGAATGAATCAGACGAAGTAGGAACAAATATCTGCCTACTGTGTGTGCATACTGAATAGTAGGTACTAAACAGTATACAGCACAGATAGTAGGTACTGACTACAGCCTAATGAAAGATAGAGTAGGTATTTGGCACTTCAGATGCAGCCCAGGTTTGCTGCTCTTGCTGTCTAGAATATTCTGGAGGATTTGGGTTTTGGAGAGCTGGTCTCTTTTAATAGTTTTAAAGGTAGGTTAAAGGTATTGGAGGATGAAGGGTCAGGTGTTAGACGCTTTGACTGATGAATTTTCTTGCTTTGTGACTCACGATGTGTTGATCTGTAATTGCGCTTGTGCACAACTTCGGAAGGTCAACACTTTTTTATTTTTATTTTTTATATTCAGGTCTAATTACAGATTGTTTTCCCTCAACTGTTTGTAAGTTCTTGTTTAAATCACACATATATATTTTTTATCCCTGCATGGGTTATGTACATTTCTTGTATAAATCTATTTTTAATTGCACAGTTTAAGTTTGATTCATCTAGGGGTATTCTTTAAATCTTTTTTTAATATATATGTATGTGAGGGGGGGGCATCGGTTTTTGTGGTTTAATTTGCAACAAATGTTTCATGTCATGTCTTTGTAACCTGCTACTGGATGCTTTGAATTTCCCTCAGGATCAATAAAGTATCTCTCTATCTATCTATCTATCTATCTATCTATCTATCTATCTATCTATCTGGTTAAATGTGCTGTTGCTTGTCCTGGCCAGGCCACTTTTGTAGATGAGATTTTTAATCTCAATAAGGTTTCCCTGGTGAATTAAATAAATGAATAAATAAATAAATACAGATTTGGCCCTTTGTATTCAGAGAGGTAGAGAGGCAGGCAGACCGTCAGGTAGAGATCCATCCTGGCTGCTTCGGCCCAGGCCGGCTGCTCCAAGTCTCCACAGTCATCCAGAAGAGCAGGGTCACAGTGCTGCAGGACACTGAAACACACACAAGTCAGGATAGACGGTTTGTAACACACTCAGAGTGAAACATAAGAGCAGACATGAATAAAAACAAAGGCCAGCCAAGTCTGAAGAGTTTAACACAAACAGTCTTTATTCAGCCGTTTAATACGAATTCTTAACTGTTAGGGATTAAAGACACTGGTGGAAACTTAAAGGAGCATTTATAAAACGTATCCGAGTGGATAGAGGTAGACATTTAATGTTTAAAAATATGTTAAATGATAGAGACTTACGCTCGAACTTCAGCCATTTCTTTATTTTTCAAATATCCGCGGTTCAACGAGTCATCTGATTGGCCACTCTGCGATGACGTCGAGCTCAGCTTTCTTAAAGGCACAGTAGCACCACCTAACGGGCTGGAGGGCGAAGTGATAGATTAGCAGTTAGGGGGGGGATATAAAATTAAACAAAAAAAACAAAACATCAGAAGCATGATACTGAGAATGTCAGTAAAAATACAATGAAGTAAACACGTGACATGTGGCTCCTTTCCTGCATGTCATTCCCCGCTCTCTCTCTCTCTCTGATTTCCAACTCTATCCACTGTCCTCTCTCTCCATCAAAGGCACAAAAAGCCTTCTTTAAAAAAGAAAAAAAAAGAAGCATAAGTAAGTAAAAGAAAATAATTGAAGTTAAATGCTGAATTTCATGAACCAGCTAAATGGAACTTATTTTGTGTGTAGCAAAAAACTGCACTATGAGTCAGAGCTTATTGATTTGAGAGGAAAAGAAAGAGCGATAGAGAGAAAGAGGGAGAGAAAGATAGAGATCCAGCTCCAAAAGAGGAGAGTGGGGAGCTCAGACACTCCTGTTAGAACCTATCCTGCCAGTGTGGACCTTCCTGGGCCCCCCTTTACGGATAAGACGGGACCCAGGAGGTCCCCCCTTTCTCGTAAAGAGGAGACCACCTGGGTCCCCTCTTACGCCTTCTACTGACAGGACAGTGCCAGTATAGAGGTGACTCTACCTGACACTGAACCTGATCTAACCAGGTGTTTGAGCTCCACTTCTCTCTTTGGGAGTGGTACTCTGACAGCTCACACGGGTCTGCACTATGAGTCAGAGCTTATTGATTTGAGAGGAAAAGAAAGAGCGATAGAGAGAAAGAGGGAGAGAAAGATAGAGATCCAGCTCCAAAAGAGGAGAGTGGGGAGCTCAAACACTCTTATTGAAGCCTGTCCTGACAGTGGGGACCTTTGGGGGTCCCCTACGTCTTACCGGCAGGACGGTGCCAGTATAGATCCACCAGCACCTGGCTCTTGGCGAGCCTTGGTCTATACAGACCATGCTGGTGACTCTACCTGACACTTAGGGCCTCAACCTGGATCTAGCCAGGTGATAGAGCTCCACATCTCCTCTTTGGAAGTGGTACTCTGACTGCTCACACGGGTCCTATCTATAACCTCGGTTTGAGAGTTGTATGACGTACTCAATGACGTCATTAAAGGAACAGCGCGGATCGAACGTGCCGCTGTATTTTGGTGTATTTGAATCCATGGTTACTAAGCAGATAGGATCATTATAAATAAAATAACAAATAGGTCTCTTATGTTGAATTGTAAATAGGCTACAATAAGCCCATGACACTCCTGATAACACTCCCGTTTTGTATGAATGGAGATACAACGTTACCAGATCGTCTATTCATCAAGATGCACACACCCAATCCAAAACTACAAAACTTAAACCCGGCTGCACTCTGCGCACGCGCAAAGCGAGAGAAGGTTTGATAACATTTATTTGTGTACTATTGTGTAACTTAATTAAAGTCATAAAAACACTCATTTGCTTCTTTCACATCAATATCTAATTCTGTTTGAAATATATGTTGCTATGGTAACAGTGATTGTTACTAATGAAAAGGACAGTAAAACACTCAAGCACCTGCTGTCTATTCATGGGTACCAAAAAGTAGAATCTGTGGACCTGTCTGCACCTCTTTTACTGTGTGTTTGCTCTTCTGTCTTAGAAACAACAGAGTTCTCCTCCATGTGTGTCACTGTGCTCAAATGTCTGCACCAGTTGTTGATGCACACTGAGGCTTTTCAGGATAGAAGAAAGACAAGACTGCAGAATAATAATATTTGTGAAAACTGAATTTACTCAAGATGATTTATTTTCTTTATTTGGACCTTTTTTTGTTCAAGGTCAAAATATCATAAAATCCCAATACTTATAGCAGTAATAGACCTACTCACAGAAAAATACTGAGCATTAGTCTACCTCAAATGCAAAAATCTTTAATTTTTTGATAATATAATATATGGAAAGAGGAGCTAAAGTGATAAGAGAGTTAACGTTACACAGTGAGTGATATTGGGTATAATTGAAGCTAATCATTTGTCTGAGGGTTCTCTTTTAAAGGAATTAATTAAACACCCCTAAATAAGTTACATCTGAGCCCTTTTGGATCAAATGTATGTCAGGGTTGGTGCTGAAAGTACTAACACGACTGAATGAAATGAACCAGCTATACAAGTAAAAATACTCCTTCAAAGCTGATTTTAGAAAAAGTGGCGCGCCCCATGGAGGCTAAGGTCCTCCAAGTGGGCGGCCCAGGATGAAATCCAACCTGTGGCTCCTTTCCCACATGTCATTCCCTAATCTCTCTCCCTGATTTCCAACTCTATCCACCGTCCTATCTCTCCATCAAAGGCAGAAAAAGCCCCAAAATAAATATATGTACATAAAAAAAAGAAGCATAAGTAAGTAAAAGAAAATAATTGAAGTTAAATGCTGAATTTCATGAACCAGCTAAATGAAACTTATTTTGTGTAGCAGTTAATAAACTGCACTATGAGTCAGAGCTTATTGATTTGAGAGGAAAAGAAAGAGCGATAGAGAGAAAGAGGGAGAGAAAGATAGAGATCCAGCTCCTAAAGAGGAGAGTGGGGAGCTCAAACACTCTTATTGAAGCCTGTCCTGACAGTGGGGATGTATTTGATTTGTAATATTAAGTTTGTATTTTTTATGTTTTTTAAATAATTTGTTTATGTTTTAAGATGAGGTTTTGAGATAAGCCCACATTGGTTTCTTCCTCACCTGGACATGTGACTTTTTTGTTGGTCTGACATTTCTTTCAGCAATGTGCAAATTAACTAATAATTATGGAAGCCCAAACCGGACCTCCATACATCTCATTTAAGTCTTTAATATCATGATAACAAGTAAATTGTGGTTGTTTTCTCGAGATCACAACGCATGTGCTGCTATAGACTGCTGGAGGACCTGGGACATTCTCTCTGGGTTCTAGTCTGACCTGGTCTCCTTTACACTCTTTTCCCCACTCTCTCGCTCACCCCTAGGTCCTACTCTACCCACTGTCCTATCAAATAAAGGCATAACCACCATGAATAGAGTTTGTAACAGTAGTGCATGTAACCTCTTTTTCTAAAATAAAGCCAGTGCAGAAGGGCCTTCTTGGAGGGGGTAAGAACAGAATAACTTATGGTGCCACCATCTGCCCAAATGGTACTAAATTTAAAACTACACTTCCTGAGGTCCACAGCAAAAGGCTTGCTAAGGATGCAGTGGATCGAGTCAAATGTTATTGAGTTACATATGACAGACAGGAAGACAGATAGACAGATCCCACCCTTTACAGTTAGCTGTTAGCTCAGCGTAGTGGATGAATGGACTGCAGAAGATTTCAGACTTAAGGCATCCATTGTAACTCAAAACCACACAGAAACAGAAAGTCTGATGCCGCCCCCTGCTGGTCAACTGTTATACTGCACTGGTCAAAAGACACTGACACCTGCATCAAGATATCCAAACCCAAAAATAATGTTTGAGACGGGCTGGAGGGTGAAGTGATAGATTAGCAGTTGGGGGGGGATATAAAATTAAACAAAAAACAACAAACATCAGAAGCATGATACTGAGAATGTCAGTAAAAATACAATGAAGTAAACACGTGACATGTGGCTCCTTTCCTGCATGTCATTCCCCGCTCTCTCTCTCTCTCTCCATCAAAGGCACAAAAAGCTTTCTTTAAAAAAGAAAAAAAAAGAAGCATAAGTAAGTATAAGAAAATAATTGAAGTTAAATGCTGAATTTCATGAACCAGCTAAATGGAACTTATTTTGTGTAGCAAAACTGCACTATGAGTCAGAGCTTATTGATTTGAGAGGAAAAGAAAGAGTGATAGAGAGAAAGAGGGAGAGAAAGATAGAGATCCAGCTCCTAAAGAGGAGAGTGGGGAGCTCAGACACTCCTGTTAGAACCTATCCTGCCAGTGTGGGACCTTCCTGGGCCCCCCTTTACGGGATAAGACGGGACCCAGGAGGTCCCCCCTTTCTCGTAAAGAGGAGACCACCTGGGTTCCCTCTTACGCCTTCTACTGACAGGACAGTGCCAGTATAGAGGTGACTCTACCTGACACTGAACCTGATCTAACCAGGTGTTTGAGCTCCACTTCTCCTCTTTGGGAGTGGTACTCTGACAGCTCACACGGGTCTGCACTATGAGTCAGAGCTTATTGATTTGAGAGGAAAAGAAAGAGCGATAGAGAGAAAGAGGGAGAGAAAGATAGAGATCCAGCTCCAAAAGAGGAGAGTGGGGAGCTCAAACACTCTTATTGAAGCCTGTCCTGACAGTGGGGACCTTTGGGGGTCCCCTACGTCTTACTGGCAGGACGGTGCCAGTATAGATCCACCAGCACCTGGCTCTTGGCGAGCCTTGGTCTATACAGACCATGCTGGTGACTCTACCTGACACTTAGGGCCTCAACCTGGATCTAGCCAGGTGATAGAGCTCCACATCTCCTCTTTGGAAGTGGTACTCTGACTGCTCACACGGGTCCTATCTATAACCTCGGTTTGAGAGTTGTATGACGTACTCATGACGTCATTAAAGGAACAGCGCGGATCGAACGTGCCGCTGTATTTTGGTGTATTTGAATCCATGGTTACTAAGCTAGATAGGATCATTATAAATAAAATAACAAATAGGTCTCTTATGTTGAATTGTAAATAGGCTACAATAAGCCCATGACACTCCTGATAACACTCCCGTTTTGTATGAATGGAGATACAACGTTACCAGATCGTTTATTCATCAAGATGCACACACCCAATCCAAAACTACAAAACTTAAACCCGGCTGCACTCTGCGCACGCGCAAAGCGAGAAGGTTTGATAACATTTATTTGTGTACTATTGTGTAACTTAATTAAAGTCATAAAAACACTCATTTGCTTCTTTCACATCAATATCTAATTCTGTTTGAAATATATGTTGCTATGGTAACAGTGATTGTTACT